TTTAAGCCGCTCTGAGACTCCTTTGGGTAGTGAAGGGCTATGGGGTAGAAATCCAATCTCCTCCTCCTCCTCCTCCTCCTCTTCTTCTTCTTCTTTAACTGTCTCAATAACTTTCTTTAACTTTTATTCAGAGTTATTTGTGTTATATGTAGGTTAAATGTAGGTCAAACCAGGAGACCAAGTGGGGCTGGTGATCTACCTCTGACCCCACCGCGATCTACTGGTAGATCACGATCTACCTGTTGGACATACCTGGTATAAGCAATTCATAGGTATTCTGAGTGGAAGAGGGCAGCCAGGAAAGTCAAATGACTCTCAATTTTTTTCTTTCAGATTAAGAGTCGTGACTTAGAATTAAAGCAGCCGCCATGGGGAACCAGCTGGCTGGTATTGCTCCTTCTCAGATTCTTTCGGTTGACAGCTATTTTTCAGACATCCACGACTTTGAATATGACAAAAGCCTGGGCAGTACTCGTTTCTTCAAAGTGGCTCGAGCCAAGCACAGAGAGGGCCTAGTGGTTGTGAAGGTGTTTGCCATTCAAGACCCAACACTACCGTTAACCAGCTACAAGCAAGAGTTGGAGGAACTGAAAATAAGGCTGCATTCTGCCCAAAACTGTCTTCCCTTTCAGAAGGCCACATTGTCTGAAAAAGCGGCTATGCTCTTCAGGCAGTACGTACGGGATAATCTCTATGACCGTATTAGCACGAGGCCATTTCTGAACAACATTGAGAAGAGGTGGATAGCCTTCCAGATCTTGACAGCGGTGGACCAAGCGCACAGATCTGGGGTCCGTCACGGGGATATCAAAACAGAAAACGTCATGGTAACCAGCTGGAATTGGGTCCTTCTAACAGATTTTGCAAGTTTTAAGCCAACCTACCTCCCTGAAGACAACCCTGCTGATTTCAATTATTTCTTTGACACATCACGGAGGCGAACTTGTTATATTGCCCCGGAGCGCTTTGTTGATGGCAGTGTGTTTGCGACAGAACTGGAAAATATGAGAGATCCATCCACTCCACTCGTAGACTTGGCCAATAGTAATCAACGAAGTAGGGGGGAATTGAAACGTGCAATGGACATCTTTTCTGCAGGTACTTGGGAGATCCAGTACCTTGTACGAGCTGTGCTGCTTTAGGAAATGAGTGGTAAAAATGTCAGTTGTTTTGCTTAAATTGGTTGAAAACTCTGTGGTTTCGCATAAGAAACATGGGCCTTCCTAATGCCAGCTACTAGGCAATCTTTGGTTTTTCTGCCATCGGCAAACAATGGTGTTCCTCTTAGTTGAGAAATCTCATAGTAACTGAAAGATGTGGAAACAGAGAATCTTAAAGCGTGTCCTGACTGGAGAAGCTTATTTATGGGGGAAGGGCCATGGCTCAATTGCAGAGCATCTGGTTTGCACGCAGAAGGTCCCAGGCATCTCCAGTTAAAAGGATCAGGCAGCAATCTGAAAGACCACCATGTGAGATCCTAGAGTCCCTGCCGGTCAGAATAGACACTACTGACCTCGATAAGCCAGTGGTCTGACTCAGTACAAGGCAGCTTCATGTGTTCATTTAATTATTCCTTCTCCAGAGTTCATGGTTCACGTTTCCTCATTCGGAGTTGAAGGATCTGTGCTCCTCTTGAGCTCAGAATTTCATGACTCGTCAGTGACCATCTCTGGGACCTTGATCAGGCTTTTTGCATTCATTTCCTCCTGTGGCTTATCATTTTTAAGGTTTTATTTCTTTTGAAACCTGCAGGCTTTATATGTTCATAGGTTGTACTTCAGACTGAAGGATCTTTCAGTTGCCTGGTCTCTCCTTTGCCTGCTTTAGAGTGCCGGATTCTGGTTCTTCATTGCAATCATTAGCTGAGTTGCTGATGACTTAAATTCAGACTATGGGGGTTGGAGGAAGCTGGAATACTACTTACCCATGTATTGGAAGAGGGCGTTTTATTTTTAGAATATGAAGAGCATTCAGTTACACATTACCCAGTGCAGTTTTGAAGTGGTGCAGTCTAGCAAAAACTGCAAAGTGTGATTCTTCTTTTACCTTCACTCTTAGATATGGAAGGGTCTTACCATAAGGAAAGAATTAAGGCTACCCAGATTTATGCAGATGAGACTGAAAAGTAGAGAACAGTGTGTTTAAAGGAAGCCTGCCAAACCCAGGCTGCTATTAGTACATTACAGCCATTTGGCTTTTGTGGCGTCTGTAGATTAATTAATTATCATTTGGCATTGTGTGTAGTATAGCCAGGACATCCTAAGATTGTCTGACAGTCTGAAGTTCTAGCGCTTTTAGTATTATGCACAGCTAGGTGGGGAGCTAGACTTGCTTTTTGGGCTGAGAGAGATCTGAAAGAGCTGTGATTGATCCAAGGCCACCCAGCTGGCTTCATGTGGAGGACTGCGGAACCGAACCCGGTTCTTCAGATTAAAGTCCTTTGCTCTTAACCACTACACCATGCTGGCTCTCTGCCCCTTTAGATACTATATGACTTTGTTGATTTTGGTTATGTATGGGCAATAGAAGATTCATGATTTTTAGGCACTTGTTTGGTATTTTCCAGGTTGTGTGATAGCTGAGCTCTTTACCGAAGGGGTACCTCTCTTTGATTTGTCGCAACTTCTGGCATATAGGAATGGCCCCTTTTCCCCTGAACAAGTGCTGAATAAAATTGAAGACCGAAGTATCAGAGAACTGGTAAATAACCCTGTTGTCATTATGCTGGCTTATTAAATGTCTGTTCCTCCTTAAGAAATAAAATTACTTTTTATTATCGCTCATTTTCCTTCTCTCAACTATTTTTGCTCCCTTCTGTCCGAAGGTTACCCAGATGATCCACCGTGATCCAGAAAAACGTTTAGCCGCTGAAGACTACTTGAAACAGCAACGGAACAATGCATTTCCTGAAATATTCTACACCTTCCTCCAGCCTTACATGGCACAGTTTGCCAAGGAAACCTTTGTGTCCGCCGATGAACGGATCCTCGTCATACGTAAAGATCTGGACAACATCATTCACAATCTCTGTGGGCACGACCAAACTGAAAAAGCAGAGGGGGAGACAAAGGAAAATGGACTGGTCATTTTGGTGTCTGTGATAACTTCATGCCTGCAGACCCTCAAATACTGTGATTCGAAACTGGCTGCTTTAGAGCTGATTCTTCAGTTGGCACCCCGGTTAAGCGTGGAAATCCTGCTGGATCGTATCACCCCTTACCTCTTGCATTTCAGCAATGACTCTGTGCCGAGGGTGAGGGCAGAAGCTGTTAGGACGCTGACAAAAGTCCTTGCTCTTGTCAAAGAGGTGCCACGCAATGATATCAATATCTACCCAGAATACATCTTACCAGGCATAGCACACTTGGCCCAGGATGAAGCTACAATTGTCCGACTGGCATATGCTGGTAAGAAATAAAGGGGGTGAGAAGCGAGAGGAGTTATTGCTTGAATGCTAGTATTTTCCAGCTGGGTTGTCCCAACATCATATAATTCCACTAAAGATGGCAGTTAAGTATATGGAATTGCAGATTCTTCCTCAGTGCTAAATCTCATTTTTCTGGTGCAATTTGGGATCTCTTGAATTTAAAACACAGCATTATGACTAAATTCAAGATTTTTCTGGTACAATTTGGGATCTCTTGAATTTAAAGCACAGCATTATGAATTGTCTAAATTCAAGATCTTGCTGGTATTTAACTTCTCTAGACGTGTGCTCTCCTACTGATGTCACAGACAGAAGAATTACTACAACGTCCAAGTCATCTACAAAGTGTTGTTTATTTGTTTAATTCATTTATACCCTACTTTTCCTCTCCAATGGGGACCCAAACTGACTTACAGCGTTCTCCCCTTCTCCATTTTACCTTCACAACAACCCTGTGAGGTGGATTAGGCTGTGAGTGTGTAACTGACCCAAAGTCATCCCTCAAGCTTCCATGGCAGAGTAGGAGTTTGAACCTGGTTCTCCCAGATCCATCCTAGTCCGACACTCTAGCCACTGCATTACTCTGGCTCTTTGGTTGTCTTGTCTTTCTGTGGCTTGGCAATACCTGATGTGTCATTGCATGAATGTGCTAAGGGATCCTCAGGTTCATACATTGTGTCTTCTCTTTACATACACCTCAGTAATGAAAGACTTCCCATTTTGTGTCAAAGCACAATTGGTATTGCATCTAAACCACAAAATGTAGTTTTCTGTGTTCCCTTTGGTATTCTAGTTTAGGCAGAGCAAACCATAGTTTTTTGTTATGCCCAAACCACAACTGGAACTAATCCAGCTACTTCAGTTCTTGGAGTTAGTCCAGTTAAAAACCTGAATATGGGAAATGAACCAGACAAGAAGGAAATAGATGGTGCACATCACACCACAGTGAAAATTATGATGTTAGTGAAGTTCCTTTCAATTTCTTTTATTCCTTTGTATAGGCAATTGAACTTAATGAGACTTAAGCATGGAAAAGTTTGGGCTGTTTGTGGTTTGGACATAGTGCCAAACTATAGTTTGCTGGGAAACTGGAAACCTTTATCTAGTGCTGTGAGCAGTAGGGACTACAAGCCCCAGAATCCTCCAGGTTTGTTTATGTGATGACAAACCATGGCTCTGAGACGTCTCGTTTTAACCAAGTATTCCATTGTATCATTTTATATTTGATTTCCTTCCTGACCTAGGTTTTGGCTGTAAAATCCCAGATGTAAGTAGAAATGTGCCTTATGTTTCCTGTATTGTGTGGCTGGCTGTTCATAGCAGGCTTTAAAATCATTACAGAGAATATAGCATTGTTGGCTGAAACTGCTCTGCGATTCCTAGAGCTAGTCCAGTTAAAAAACTTGAACATGGAGAATGAACCAAACAGCGAGGAAATGGATGATGCGTCTCACCCCAGTGAAAATTACGACACGGGTAATGTTCTTCCTCTCACATTCTTCTTTCTTTGTATGTTGAATTGGACTTAATGTGCTGTAGGCATGGTGGAGGTTGGGCTGTTAGTTTTCAAGGATGTGTTAATGGCTTGGATTCCAAGGAAACCCTGTGATGACATGTGTGATGGAGGGGCACTGTGCGCTTGCTAACACTTACTTCCATGGCACTCTTGCAGAACTTCAGGCCTTACATGAAATGGTCCAGCAGAAGGTTGTCACTTTGCTGAGTGACCCAGAAAATATTGTGAAACAGACCCTGATGGAAAATGGAATCACGCGGCTCTGTGTCTTCTTTGGACGTCAAAAAGCCAACGACGTTCTCCTATCTCATATGATCACCTTTCTGAATGATAAGAATGACTGGCATCTACGGGGAGCTTTTTTTGACAGCATAGTAGGTATGTGCTGGGCAGCATTCAGCATTTTTTTCATTATGGTAAATGAACGGGTTTTTTTAAAAAAAAATGGGGAATTGAGTGGTTTAAAGTTATTTTATGTGAATAACATTCTGTCTCGGTATGTGCTGGGCAACATTCAGCATTTTTTTCATTGTGGTAAATGAACAGGTTGTGGTTTTTTTTAAAAAAATGGGGAATTGAGTGGTTTAAGTTATTTTATGTGAATAACATTCTGTCTTTGAAGAGCAGAGAACTAAGCGGCTCCTCAGTGTCTAATCACAGCAGCTAATGAATCAATGCACTTGAGTGATGATCATAACTATGTAAGAATTGTCTTCCTAGGTCCAATCAGTAGTTCATCTAGTCCAGTACTCTTTCTCCAATGGCAGCCAGCAAGATGCTCCGGAAGCCTACCAGTGAGGCATGGTGGATCTAACCATCCTTAGTTTTTTGTCCCTGGCATGTAGTGATCAGAGGTTACAAGAAGGCTTGTTCTTTTCTTTCTTTTTTTTAAAGCTTCATTATAAAAGTACAGTTCTTTTGTAGCTTACAATCAAGAGAATACAAACAATCAAACGCCATAACATTATAACTTTAAAACACAAACAGTGGTCATATATTGACCAGAAATAAGAAAAAAAAAGTTAAACAAGTGCAGTAAACATTAATGTATAGAGATAGCTTACCAAGTCTAAATAATACTATTTAAAGAGCATAAAACGACTGACAGTTGGCTTAAATAATTTAAATATCCAAAGAGATAAGTAGAGAAGATCTCACAGTATTAATACATTGATCGGGTAGGAACAATGAAACAATTCGTTTTTAGAAATAAATTCTATTACAGGGAACCACATCTTGACAAAATGTGATATATAAGGACTATCATCGCTTTGCAATTGTTGTTATAGTAGCTTTTCCATTGTATAAAAATCCCAGATTCGTTGGTACCAGGGCTATTTTTGGGCAGAGTTGGCCACGCCCACTACAGCCAAAACCTCTGTGTGCGTGGCTACAGAGGAAAGGCCTGGAGAGCAACCCCCTCTGGTGACTCTCCCGCTGGTGACTCGGAGGCAGGTGGTCCAGGGGAGCCCCTGGAATGATCGTGGAGGCATTTAAATCCCTCCCTGTGCCTTCCCCCGCCTGTCCAAGGGCCGGCTTGCCTGGGCTGCCTGCAGCCGTGGGGTGCCTGGGCAAGTCAAGGGAAGGCAGTTTAAACTGCCTCCCCTTCCCTCCAAGGGGGGGGGGCTTACCTGGGTTCCCCACAGCCACGTGGTGCCTGGGCAAGCCAAGGGAAGGCATTCAGGGTGTGGCTTAATGTGCTGTGCTGTCAGGGGTGTGGCCTATTATGCTAATGAGTTCATGCTGGGCTTTTTCTACAAAAAAAGCCCTGGTTGGTACCAAGCTGAAATAAATGGAGATTTATCATTTGCCATGGTGCTGTGTCTAACTAAGGGAATCGTAGAAGAATTCCAAAGATTCAAGAGCATTAGTTCAGGGGTGCAAGGGACTGAGTAGCCTGTAATATGATGTATATGAGAATGAATAGATTGCCAGAAACGCTTAATACAGGAGCAGGTCCACCAGTTGTGAAAGTAAGAGCCCCACTCACCACATCCTTTCCAGCAACTGGATTGTTTGTTAGGGTCAATAGGATGCATTTTTGATGTGAGATGCCATCTGGAGGTAAGTTTAAAAGCCTGAGTGTGTAGACTTGTAGATTTTATTATTTGATTTATATACCATCCTCCCCAAATGGGCTCAGGGTGGTATACAACAATTAAAACAATACAATTAAAATAATGTTAAAATAACAATTTGCACAGAATAGTATCATAAAATACCATGTAAAAGTGGAGAGACCAGATGCTAAATCAGGTCCGGTGTCTAATCAGATGTCCAATTGGGTCCAGACCACTGATGGATAATTGGGCAAAAGCTGGGGTGGGGGGGAACGTCCGCTGCCTCAACCAAAAACTCGTTGGAAGAGCTCCATCTCGCAGGCCTTGTGGAACTGCAATAAGTCCCAGAGGGCCCTGATCTCTTAGGGGAGCTCATTCCATCAGGCGGCGGGGGGGGAGGCAGGACTGAATAGGTCTTGGCCCTGGTTGAGGCTAATCGGACAGCCATGGGGCCGGGGACCACTAGGAGATGTTGATTTGTAGACCTCAGTGCCCTCTGGGGCTCATATGGGAATAGGTGGTCTCGTAGGTATGCTGGCCCCTGGCCATATAGGGCTTTGAAATGGATCTGGAATTCAATAGGCAGCCGGTGGAGTTCACGCAGCACCGGGTGGATAGAAGCCCGCGTAGGCACCGCTGTCAACACCCGTGCTGCCACATTCTGCCCTAGCTGCAACTTCCGGAGCAGAGTCAAGGGGGAGCCCCATGTAGAGAGAGTTACGATAATCCAGCCTGGAAGTGACCATTGCATGGGTCGCTGTAGCTAGGTCTCGGGGAGTGAAATATGGGGCTAACTGCCTCCTCTGCCTCAGACAGAAAAAGACAGACCTGGCAGTGGCGGTGACCGGGGTCTCCATGGAGAGGGAGGCATCCAGGAACACCCCCAGACTCTCCACCCCTGATGTCGGCACCAGTGGAGCCCCATTGAAGGTTGGGAGCCTGATCCCCTGACCCAGTCCCCCACGGCACAGGTACAGGACCTCCGTCTTAGATGTATTTAACTTCAGTCGGCTCTGTTGTAACCATCCAGCCACAGCCTGTAGCGCCTCGTCCAGGTGTCCTGGGGCTGTGTCCGGGCGGCCGTTCATCAGTAGATAGAACTGGGTGTCATCTGCATACTGGTGACAACCCAGCCCATATCTTTGGATAATCTGGGTGAGGGGTGCATCTAGATATTGAACAACATGGGGGAGAGAATTGCTCCCTGCGGAACACCACATTCCAGTGGATGCCACTGGGATAACTCCCCCCCCCCAAGTGCCACTCTCTGTCCCCGACCGTGGAGGAAGGAGGCCAGTGACTGCAAGGCAAGCCCCGGTATCCCGGTGTCAGCAAGGCGGTGGGTTAACATCTCATGGTCAACCATATCAAACGCTGTCGATAGGTCGAGAAGAATTAGCAGCGCCGATCCAACTTGATGTGGAAGTAAAAGTGAGTGAGTGCCATATTTTGGACTACTGAGCGTCTGTTAGGGCGTGACCCAGATCCTTATGCCAAGAGTGTACGTAAGAGGGCCTCTGCGGAACCTCCAGGGCAAGGAGAATTTTATATAACGCTTCTGTTCTAATGGCAATGAATAATCTCCCCTTCATGAACATATGGCAGTCATTAGAGGCTTCTGTGCTTTTGTCCATCACGTCATCTTGTGGCACTGAATTCCATGTGTTAATTGTGACATAGACATGCCTCCTCCTGTACTGTCCAAGGTGCCAGTTAAGATCATCTTCCAGAGTCTTGCTGCCTGTGCCCACACCTGCAGAGGCAAGGCAGGGGGAGATCCCAGATGGGCTTTTTTCCAGTGGTGAAATTTCATGTCTGGGATGCCATCCCCCCTTCAGGCTCATCTGGCACCTGCCCTCCTGTCCTTTAGGGACAAGGCCAACACTATTTTTTTAAGACAGACTTTTAATTAAAAGTGTTCCATCTTTTCTAGCAGTTTTTATGATCTGCTTCTAGCCTGGGCTCTGTCTCATGAACATCATTGTCAGCTGCTGAATGTTGTTGTGTGCTGTTTTTAATGGCTTGTTTTTATCCTGTGGTTATGTGATTTTCATTGCACTTTTTTATTTGTGAGCTTTCCCAAGCAGGTGTGGGGAGAGGCAAACATACGCATTTTCTAAATAAATAAACATTGTTCTAAATAACTAAACTTGGGCAACCTGGTCTGGAGTTTTGCTTGTTCTTAAGTGAAGCCTACTGTTCTTAAGTGAAGCCTACTCATTAGCATAATAGGCCACACCCAACAGCAGAAACTTATTAGCATATTAGGCCACACCCCCATGCCTTCCCTTGGCTTGCCTGGGTGCCCCGTGGCTGTGGGAAGCCTGAGCAAACCCCCCCTTGAAGGGAAGGGAAGGCAGTTTAAACTGCCTTCCCTTGGCTTTCTGAGCACCCCATGGCTGTGGGGAGCCCGGGCTAGCTGGCCCTTCTACAGGCCAGGGAAGGCACGGGGAGGCATTTAAATGCTAGGTCTCGGGGCATTTAAATGCCTCCCCGGTCCTTCCAGGGCCACCCTGGCCTGCCCGGCTCCGAGTCGCTGGGGGGGGGTTGCTCCCCAGGCCTTCCCTCTGTAGCCACACATGCAGAGGTTTTGGCTGTAGTGGGCGTGGCCAACTCTGAAGCCAGCCGGAACACTCTTCCTGTGCGTTCCCGCCCCTAAATAGCCCTGCTACTGATGAACTACTTCTCAGGACACCATAGTGGCTCTGTCTGTGATTCTGAAGTCTTTTGAGTTGGCCTGGCTTTTAGAAATAGTAATATGTGTTCATTCTGCCTGATTTTCAGGTGTTGCAGCTTACGTTGGCTGGCAAAGCTCTTCGATCCTAAAGCCACTGCTCCAGCAAGGGCTCAGCGATGCTGAAGAGTTCGTCATCTACAAAGCCCTCAATGCGCTTACCTGTATGTGCCAATTAGGTCTTCTGCAGAAACCACACATCTATGAATTTGCCTGTGATATTGGTAAGCCACCGTTCTTGGATGCAATTAGCTGTTTTTGAATGGCCAGTGTTGTTTGCCTACCTTAGACTCCATTCCCAGGTTTTTTGGATAAAATGGTGGAGAGCAATGTTCCCTCTAAGCTGTGGAGTCTGGTGAGCAAAAATTCTCCTCGGTGAGCTACTGGCATTAAAGTTGTGAGCGAGCGATTTGGCTACTGCATGAATTAGTTTGCTCTGGAGCCATCCTTCCTGTGCGAAGACAGAAATGTGTGAGCCGGAGGCTAAAAAACGGTGAGCTAGCTCACACTAACTCAGCTTAGAGGGAACACTGGCCTGGAGAGGAGGACAATGGAATACTCTTTGGGTCCCCATTGCAGAGCAAAGCAGGGAGAGAATTCTGGACGATATTTTATACTTTCATCAAATGAACAGCACCCATTTGGTCTGAAGTGTGTGCATGTCTTTTTGAACCTTCACAGCTCCTGTCTCTCCAGTTTGAATTGTGTGAGTGAATGAGTGTACAGTGTACAGTGACACCTGTGAAAACCTGGCTCTCTTTCTTACTTCCCCAGCTCCGTTCCTCTGCCATCCTAATCTCTGGATACGCTACGGAGCTGTTGGGTTTATAACTGTCGTAGCGCAGCGTTTGAATATTGCCGATGTTTATTGCAAACTTATGCCTTACCTGCATCCTTTCATCACTCAGCCAATCATCCAGGTAAAGTGTCAGCTGCACGTGTACCTTTCATCCATTTGGAGATGCAGGGTGTAAGAGACTTGAAGGTGACTTGGCTCCACTTCTTGCCTTGACTCTAAGAGCTGTGTTCCATACAGGGCTTCGGCCATCTCCATAGCAAGTCCTCCTGCTCCACGCAGTAAAGAAATACATACCCCAGAGATGTCATGAACTGAGCTTGCTTGCCTCTACCCCACGTCTTTGGCTTCTGCCCGCAAAGGTGTGGAAAGTCACAGCATAGTGCCACTTCTAAGTGTTCCTGTAGGAATAAGGAAGGTACCCCACCGTAATGTTATTTCCTGTGGTGTCCCTATTATCATCGTAATGAGAGCCAGTGGGGTGTAATGGTTAGGGTGTTGAACTAGGAGACCCAGGTTCACACCCCGACTTTTACCACAGAAGTCCACTGGGTGACCTTGGGTCTGTCCTACACACGCAGACTGGCCTGCCTCACAGGGTTGTTGTTGTGGGAGAATGGAGGTGGGGAGAACAGTATTCTAAGCTGCTTTGAGACCCAACTGGGGAGGAAAGTGGGATGTAAATAAATAAATGCACCATCAAATGTAGGCATGCACAATATGCAACCTGGTTTTCTCACACCGCGCCTCAGTTTTATTACAGACAAACTCGCATCATCTAGATGCTTTGGTGCAATGAACTGGTTGCTGCTGGAGCAAATGATGCCATGCCAGAAATGTTTGAGGTCTTTTTTACTATAACAATCCAGGTAGTTCGCTCTCAGATTCAGTTGTAGTGGTTAGACTACGATCGGGGAGAATAGATCCCCACTCCGCCGTGGAAGCTTGCTGGGTGACCACATCCTCAGCCTGACTTACCTCAGAGGGTTGTGTGAGGATAAAATGGTGGAGAGGAGAATATTTTAAGCTGGCCTAAACGCCATGGAAGAAAGGCAGGATCAAAATTTACTGAGTAAATAAGTAATGATTAACGAGGAATAACAATGAACTACCTCATAGGATCATTGTTAAGAAAAAATAGTAATGAGTGTAAGGTAAAAGGTAAAGGTAAATGTAAAGGTTCCCTTGCTCGAAAGCCAGTCGAATCCGAATCTAGGGTTGCGGTACTCATCTCCGTTTCCAAGCCGAAGAGCCAGCGCTGTCCGAAGACGTTTCCGTGGTCATGTGGCTGGCATGACTAAACACCGAGGCGTATGGAACGCTGTTACCTTCCCACCAAAGTGGTACCTATTTATCTACTTGCAATTTCTTGCTTTCGAACTGCTAGGTTGGCAGGAGCTGGAACTAGAGACGGGAGCTCACTCCGTCAAGTGGCACACTCGGGTCTCGAACTGCCGAACTACCGACCTTCCACAGCCTGCAGTTCAGCGTCTTAATCACTTGAGCCACCACAGCTCCGCTACTTCAGAGGGTTGTGTGAGGATAAAATGGTGGAGAGGAGAATATTTTAAGCTGGCCTAAGCTCCATGGAAGAAAGGCAGGATCAAAATTTACTGAATAAATAAGTAATGATTAAAGAGGAATAACAATGGACTACCTCATGGGATCGTTGTTAAGAAAAAATAGTAATGAGTGTAAAGCATGTTGCAAATTAAAAAGCACGATATCAACAAGAGTAGTTGAATGTCATCTAAAATAGTCATTTAAAACTAGTTTGACTGGGAAGAGGGTTCTTAAAGTTATAACTACTTTATTATTTTCGAAGCTTGATAGCACTTTTGAGAATATGGTCTTCTTTGGAACCCGCCATTAAGGTCAGTAACTCGGGCTGCAGTCTTAAGCATACTCACAAGGGAGTTGAGTTGAGGAACTTAATAGTATTTACTTCCCAGTACACATTCTTAAGTTTTTGCAGTAGCCCCCTATGAACAAGGTGACCTGAAACCCTTTCACAATATTCCTAAATTGTGCATCCGTGTGATCACTTAACGTCTTCCTTTCCCTGACTTGCAGATTGATAAAGAAATAGTTCTGCTGAGCGTCCTCAAAGAACCTGTCAGCCGTTCCATATTTGATTATGCTCTGAGATCAAAGGACATAGGAAGCCTTTTCCGAACTCTGCAGCTTCGTCAGAAGAAGAGGAATGGCACCCTGCCCGACTGCCCCCCTCCTGAAGATCCAGCAATTGCACAGCTGCTAAAGAAGCTACTCTCCCAGGTAATGACGTAGGGGTATCATAGCAGTGCCTGAGAATGCGTGATCAGGCGGAAGGCCACATTGTTCTGCCAGCTGTACCACAGTGAAGTATATGCACAGCACACAACACCTTGGGTCATTCTCCTGCATAGTGCCATTTGAAGTTAACGAGGGCTTCAGTGGAAGAACATTCCCACGTTACTCTTGTTCTGTAAAACAGTTGTATGTGCAAACTGGTTCTGTTGAAGTGTGGGTCAGATTTTCTACCTGTACAGGTTAGGGCAAGGGTGACGAGGAACTTCGAGTTGGATTCTTTCAGCGGTGGAAATTAAGAGCTGATCCAGATACTAGATTTGCAACAGGAACCAGAGTCCTTGTGATGAGAGCCATCCCTGCCATATCATCCAGTAGAATTTGCCATGTAATTCAGAGCCATCGTGTAGTGCATTTTCTCACCTTCATTTTTATTGGGCAAAGGCAAGCACTTCCTGCAGCTTGTTGGATGGACCTTCATTTTTATTGCCAGCCAAGAATTGTAAATTCTCTCACTTGGTGATGTCTACTGGACAGCATGCCTATGCTGTGAGAAATTTACCATGTGACATCAATCTCCATGGAGATATAATCTCTAGACTGGGGGGGGGGATTACAATTTTTATCCCAACCTTCTTTCAAAAAGCTCAGGCTAGTATATGTGCCCCCAACCCTTATCTTCACAACAAACCTGTGAGATGTGCTCGGCTGAGAGATAGTGACTTTCTTTAGGTCATCTAGTGAAATCTGGGGCTGAATGGAGGTTTGACATTTTAACCAAGGATTAAAGGCTTATTTACTGATTAAAGCTTGAAATCTAAAAATTGTGATAGCTTGTGATACTGTAATTATTGTGAGATAGCTGTGAAAACATAACCCGAGTCTTTTTCTAGAAAGATTCAAGCATATAACTCCTTTACCATTTAATACTGGACAAAAGTATGCTAGACTATACATTTTTTTATTTAGAAGATTTATATTCCACCTTTTTAGAAAACCTGGTTGAGGAGGCTTACGAAGTAAAACATGATAAAATTATAAAATAGTGTTAAAATGAACAAACTGTACAAAACCTACCCATAAAAACACAGCATAATAATCAGCATAAAACATCTAGCACCTTAAAATGATCCTCTGGTAGAAGCAGACTATAAGAACAGATTTAAAACATCAAACCCCTTCAATAAAGCCCTGGGTAAAAATAAGTAAGGAGCTGCTGTGGGTCAAGTGGTTAAGACGCTGAACTGCAGGCTGTGGAAGGTCGTTAGTTCGGCAGTTCGAGACCCGGGTGCCGCAAGACGGAGTGAGCTCCCGTCTCTAGTTCCAGCTCCTGCCAACCTAGCAGTTCGAAAGCAAGAAATTGCGTGTAGATAAATAGGTACCACTTCAGTGGGAAGGTAACAGCATTCCGTGCGCCTTGGTGTCTAGTCATGCCGGCCACATGACCACGGAAATGTCTTCGGACAGCGCTGGCTCTTCAGCTTGGAAATGGCTCGGATTCAACTGGCTTTCGAGCAAGGGAACCTTTACCTTTACTTAAAAATAAGTATTTTGGCTTGGCCCCTGAAAGAGAGTAGAGTAAGTGCCAGAGAAGCCTGAAGGGGAAGGGTATCCCACAGATGAGGTGCCCCCACTGAATAAGTTCGGTCTCTAAGTACCAACTGCTTCACTTCTGCAGGGCTTTGTGAGGAAGATCTTAACTGGTGCACTGGGTATTATGGGAGGAGATGGATGCTTGATCACCAGTCCCAACTGTCCTCTGAGGTGGGTTAGAATACCTGAGATAGAGAGCAATCTTAAGCGGGTCTACACAGGATCCTATTGAAGTCTACTCAGTGGGGCTCACTCTGGGAGAGTGTTCTTAAGACTGCACTGATGATAGCTTGCCAGCAGTCATGGAGTGAGTTTCATGGCCATGCAGGGATTTAAAACTCCATGGGTCACACATTATTCTAGTTAGTGGTAGTTAACATTTTTAATTTTAACTTCTCATTCAGTAAGGACTCTTTTACTTGAAGAAAGTGAAATCTGCCTGATGATTCAAGGCTGTTCCATTCTGGATGAGTGAGAAACCCATGCCAGCTGTGATCATTTAAAAAGAGTGTACTGACTCACTATGCCAACCGTGGCTGAACAGTCCACAGAGTAACCATTTAAACGTAACATTTACATCTGGGCTGTGCCGACCATGCACAGCATTCTGTGCTTCCCCCATCTCAATAAGCGCTTGATTTCAACAAGCAGTCTTGGGTTTTGTTTTGTGATAGGGGATGACGGACGAAGAAGAAGACAAGCTGCTGGCCTTAAGAGACTTCATGTTGAAATCCAACAAAGCGAAGGCGAACATCGTGGACCAGAGCCACCTCCACGACAGCACCCAGAAAGGAGTGATTGACTTGGCCGCTCTGGGTATAACGGGGAGACAAGTTGATCTGGTCAAAATGAAGCAGGAGTCTGATGACAAACGTGGTTAGTACAGAACTGCGGTTCATGTCCTCTTGCTCTGTTATGGTCTCTTTTGAAGATGTAAAACAACATTTCACTAGCCATACTGTGTGTCCACCCATTCCCTATCTGTAGGAATGCCTGCTTACTTTTTACTTTGCAGATTAAAGAGGGAACTCACACGACAGAGAGAATGTTCAAAGTATGCATCGCAACTAAATTTGTTCACTTATTCAGCTGAGAGTGATAAGAAATGAAGTGATCTACTTGTGTGCTGTGAACCTGCCCTTAGGCAGGATAGCTACAACATCAAGGGATGAATTGCATGACCTACTTGTGTGCTGTGAGAACCTGCCCTTAGGCAGGACAGCTACAACATCAAGGGATGAATTGCATGCGAGAATGAGCCACTGGAAATCATACCTTAGATGGAAGTTTTGTATCAATTCAAAGACCTTTTTTCAGATGTTCAACTATAAGTGAATCAACCTTCAGTTTTACGGGAGCTGGCATGATGTAGTGGTTAAGAGCAGTGGACTCTAATCTGGAGAACTGGGTTTGATTCCCAACTCTTCCATGTGAAGCCTGCTGGTTGACCTCCAGCCAGTCACAGTTCTCTCAGCCCCACCTACCTCACAAGGTGCCTGTTGTGGGGAGAAGAAGGGAAGGCGATTGTAAGCCACTTTGAGACTCCTAAGGGTAGAGAAAATCAAGGTACCAAAAAACCCGATTCCTCTTCTATGGGTGGAAGACAAAGCTATCATATTAAACATGGCTGTCTCTCATGGCCTCCAGTAATGTTTCCCTAACCACTGAATCCACTTTCTGATACTACACCAGACCTTACCAATTATACAGATGCATGCAAAACAGGAAAATATACATGTTTTGTTTTGTGTAACTGTATAGTTTGTTTATGACCACAAATTATCAACCCATGAAAATGCCTGTGTACCTGACAAAATGCATTGCTATACCATGTCAATACAAAAATACAGCAGTATTGTATTTTACAGTATTACTTAAAGACTAGATTTTAAAGCTATAAGGACACAATAAGTATGAACGACTAAGCGCAAGATACTGCCCAGTCGAACAGTACTGCTCTACATTTTTCTTTTGCAAATAATGATCCTCTTTGAATGTAATTAGTCCAGTATATTGTGGCTTTTGGACCTGAAATGGAATCTCCAAAACAAATGCCTTTTTCCGAACTAGCTTGCTTGTGCATACAGTTGTTGTTTTGCTGCCTTGTTGGAGACAGGATCCTGTTTCATACGAGCAGTAATCTTCCCTTTGTCAAATTATTTATCTGTTTTACCTTAAATGCTGAGTCTAGCTTAATGCTAAGAACACAGATCACACTGTTTATCCGCTCTCTCTCTGCAAAGACTGGCTGATGACATAAATGATCCGTAGAGGTTTAAGATGAAGATTATTTACACTGCAGTCCTGAACAGAGCTACAGCTTCATGACCCACTGACTTCAATGGACTTAGAAGGGTATAACTCTGCTTAGATATGCTCTATAAGGCTGGTGATGGACTGCTCTCTTTACACCAGTTGTTTTTTATCAGCTGATTTAAATCAACTCTCAATTCCCCCCCCCCCCCCCGGATCAACATGATACTATACTATATCAATATGAGTAACTCGGTCTTTGCTTACACTGCTAAAGGTCACGACTGCTCTTGAAGATTTGTTACAATAACTCATGTGCAGCCTTCTTATAATCCTTTTTTTGGGCCTCGTTGACTTTTAGCTAGAAAGCATGTAAAGCAAGATTCCAATGTAAACGAAGAATGGAAGAGTATGTTTGGCTCTTTGGAACCTTCTAATATCCCCCAGCCAATGAGCAAAGGACACAGCCAAGCCACAGAGCAAGAGATTGCCCAGCCCAACAAACCTCTCCGATCAGAGTCTTCAGCTGGCATTTGTGCGCCTTTGTCATCCTCTCCGCAGGTATTTTCTAGGCATGTTTTTTATTTGCATTATACCCAGTCCTTAGTAAAGAAGTAGGAGCCAATAGGTGTGTGATCAACATATAGGGATATCTTTCTGACTCACTAATCGATCATCTTTTGTAATGGCTGTGTAAAAACAAGATCCATTTTGTACCTGATCAGCTGTCTGAGGTCCCCCCTCCCATGTCAGGTCACCTTCTGAACCAGATGTTGTGGAGTAAATTGGATGTTGAAGTGGATGGAGAGTCAGCCAGCGCTGGCGAGATCTGGAACTCCCAGTTCATCTAAATCTTAATGTGAACTGTGTCATTCCTCTTTGGGAGTGTAGCTACAAGACCTTGCTTTAGGTGGAAACGGGTAATTTGTATTCAGAACGCCATCTCTGAAATATTAACCTCTGAACCTCAATCAGAAGTGGCCTTTCAATAGCAATTGTATTTTTATTTTTACCCCCTTCTCCAAGGGGGAATTTGAACCCTGGTCTCCCAAGTCTAACGTTTGTGTGTGTGTAAAATGCCGACTTATGGTGACCCCAGCAAAGGGCAGGTGGGTTACCATTGCCTTCCTCTGAACAGTCTTCTTTGGTGGTCTCCCTTCCAAGTACTGACCCCCCCCTTCCCCTCGCTTCCGAGGTCTAATGGGGGCCAGTCTGCACCATGCCGCCTTCCCTCCAAGTCTAACATGTTAACTACTGTATCACACTGGTCTCCATGCAGCATAGTAATTACAACTCTTGTGATGCTTTGGGTTTTTTTTTTACTGCTTAAAGTTTATTAACAACAGAAAGAGAGAAATAATGAACTTTTAAAAAATCAGTGGGCTTGGGACCGCATGGTAAGTTGTGTGACATTATGATTTATGGGTTTCAGGCAGCGGATGGCACTGTTGCCTCAGACAGGAAACCAACCATACAAGTTTTGAGCAGCATAGCTTCCCCCTCCACGTACCAGCTGCGCATCACGACATGTAAAACGGAGCTTCAGCAGCTCATCCAGCAGAAGCGAGAGCAATGCAATGCTGAAAGGCTTGCCAAGCAGATGATGGAGAATGCAGAATGGGAGAGCTTCGTAAAAGTCTTGCCAAGAAGATGATGAAGAATGCAGAATGGGAGAGCAAGCCACCCCCGCCAGGTGATTCTCCACACTCCTTTGGGGAAAGCCCAGTCCTGTTACGAGGGGGAAGACCTGAAAAGGCACTTTTGGTCCTGTTGATGTGAAGGTCTACCCATGGGGAGTGTGAATTATGAGGAGCCCTCTTAGCTGAATTTGCACACTCCCGCTATAGTACTGCTAGTACTGATGCTTTATTGTCCTTTAATACTTAGGGTCTTTTAGGGGAAGAGTATATGAATTTGATTTAGGAACTCTATGTGATTCAGGATGTGTGACTGCACAAGAAATTAAAAAACACTGACCTTATGGCATCTGGAGTTGGCAATTGAATGAATTTCTTGCAGTGTTTCCAGCTCACTGTTTTAGACGAGGCAGTTCAGACATGGACACTTAAAACTGTTTTGAGAATGCTGCTGGTTGATAATAGGAAGGGGCCAGGCAGTGAGTCTTTGGGCTCATTGGCTGATGGATATAAAAAATTGAGCTCAAAAACTGCAGGGGACTACTGGCCTCAGCTCCTGCCAGCCTAGCCGTTTGAAAGTAAGAAATTGCAAGTAGATGAATAGGTACCACTTCAGTGGGAAGGTAACAGCGTTCCGTGCACCTCGGTGTTTAGTCATGCTGGCCACATGACCATGGAGAAGTCTTTGGACAGCGCTGGCTCTTCGGCTTGGAAACACCCCCTAGGGTCGGAGTCGACTAGCTTTCGAGCAAAGGAAACCTTTACCTTTAACTTACTGGGGTGAGAGAGAAGAAAAAAGCATCAAGAGATTGCTTTTAATGTGTCACAGCAGCCAAAGTCAGGCAGGAAATGTGGCTTTTACTGATGGCCTGTCCACATGTCATTTTGGGGTGTAAAAAGATGCACACACCTGATCAAAGCAAGCATGCGTTAAGGATCATAACAACAGCTGAAAAAGTGTGTGTGTTCTATTCCTGATGCGTTTGTCAGGAGACCAATGTATGTATTGGCTTTCTTGCATCTATTAGGGCTACTCATCAGGACATTTTGAATGGTGGAATATGTGGGGCTTTTGGAATTTTGAGAGATTGTCCATAATTAATATGGCTTTCAAGTGCATCTGTTTATTAACAGCAAACCTTCTATCTGTGAGTTTTAAGAGAGGCAGTTGATAGCTCTTTTTAACTTATATATACCATTTTGACTATAGTCCTGCTTCTCATTTGTCACATTATCTCACCTGACATTCCTCGAAACAAACCATAGGCAAGATTTTGACCCACTTGAGACTCTACTTCATATTTGT